TACGCACGCTGGTGCCGTACATAAGATTCCTTTTGAAAAAAGGGGTGTGATGCTCACGAACTGCCGCTCAAAGGCGGCAGTCGGAGACTTGTTCAGCTTGAAGCTGTTTTGCAGTGCCCAGTAGGGTCAGCGCATTTCAGGGCCGTGGACCTTGAAGTAGTGAAACGCCATTTTGTTAAACCCCTCGGCTGCGTTGTAGCGGCCAAGGAACTCACGAAAGGCGATCGGGTCGCGGTAGTCATAAGGGACGTCGTCACTTTTAGCATCAGTGCTGTAATCCCTGTAGAACGCTGAAAACCACACTGATTGACCAGCGTACGCATGACCTTGCAGTGCATTCGTGCTTTTGGCATCTTTCAGCAGGTTACGGACCCGCCTGATGTAGCTTTCGGCCTTTACCCAGCGAGAGGCGCCGCCGATCTTGAGCATGCCGCCTTCTGTGTCGCCGGCAAGTTTTATCCCTAAGGAAAGAACTTGCTTCTCCGTACCGAATGCATTGGCCTGCCAGTTACGGCTTCGACGGCCATCGCGACCATTGCTACCCATCTCGTAGCAGTTGCTTGATCCGCACTGACTCAAATGCAGAAAAAGATCTTCTGCGGTAAGGCCATGGCTTGCCGGAATGCGCACGATGGTCTCGTGATAAAAAATGCTGGAGCTCATGCCGCCACCCCCATGTCAGAGAAGAGGTCATATGCCGGCACGGGCTCGACTGAAGGCAGTTCGGACGAAACAACCAGATTCACTGCTGATGACCACAAATGACCATACTTCCCGTAGGCGTGTTGCCGCTGTATGAGGTGATAAGCCTCACAGGCCTCCAATGAGTCCAAGGGGATCAACCAGGTGCACTGGCTTTCATTCCTCGCCGTCAAAAACCGGCTGCTCAAAGCAGCTTCTGCTTTGGCTTTGAATTCGCCATCCATGCCCAGCAGGTACTGGGTTGAATTGGTGAAGGTGCATTGCAAGGACAACCCACGACTTTTGAGGGACGTGATGGAAATACTTTGCAGCATCGCCTTGCGCCACAGACCGATGTAGTCTTCAGCCTTGACGTGTCGACCGCCATTAAGGCGCGCGCCAAATTCAGCCTCAATGACTTCTTTTTGGCAGATTCCACCAAGTAGAGAGTAGGGCTGTGCAATATCGCGATCCAGCATTCGCCAGGTCGCGGGCTTGTCAAAGGTGTGCTGTTCGCAGACCAGCCAGACCTGGCTTTCTTTTGAGAGCGGATACAACTGGTGTTCCCCAATCACAGAATCGAACTCGATAACGAGCCGTTCGGTTTCGTTGATGATTGTTTTCATAAACCATAGGTAAATTTTCAAATAAAACCCGTTTGAATGGGTCAAGGCTTTTTTCGCAAAGCTGGCGTCGTTTCAGAGCCTTTATTTTAGCTCTTTTCAAATCAAGAACAATAGTTTTCAGAGAGGAATGTAAATAATTCTTGCCAAAGTTATGTCCCGACTGGGCGTTCCACAAACAGACCAAGTTTTTGAGACGAAGATTGAACAGACAAAAAAAACCAGCCCGGTAAAGGGCTGGTCTTGGTTGCTACGGTGACCCGTAGTTCAGGGCGCCGGGATCACGCTCGGCGTGTCTTCGCGCTCCAGGATGACAACATTGGCAATATTGGTCTCACCAATGCCTGCTGCCATGATCTGAAACGTTCGCAGGATGCTGCTCCTGCGCTCCGCGCGAAGTTGTTGCCCCTCAAGGTTGAGGGTTGCAACGACTGCAATGCTGCCGTCATCTTGGCGTATGCCAGCAGTCAGCCGTGTCGGAGAACCGGCTGGCACTGGGGGAAGGGGTGGCGTCCACTCGTCTCCGCCCATCGTGCCAAATACTGTACTCAGTCTCATGTCAATCTTTCTTGTTGACCAGCCAC